CTCGCGACGACACTGGATGGGCACGACATTTTACTGGGACGTGATTGGTTGCGACGCTACAACCCGCGAATCGACTGGACGACGGGTAGCTGCACTGTGTGAAGTAGCGGTAACTGGGTCGTGCTACCTCGCTGGCAGTCGCCCGAGTCTTCAATAGTCCATGTCAACGCCATCACGATGAAACGGGCTATCACCGCTGGAGCTGATGTGTACGCGGTGGATATCGCATTGGTAGGAGAAGCGGAGCAGCCGAGTGATTTTCAGAAACTGCTGGCATCGGTACCACCCGAACTACAGGAACTGTTGAAACGGTACCCGGGGATTTTCCCGGATGACTTACCGGAGGGACTGCCACCTCAGCGGGCACATGACCACCGAATAGGATTAGAACCGGGGGCACAGCCAACCGTACAGCGACAGTTTCGACTGACACAGCCCGAGCTCGACGAATTGAGGAAGCAGTTAGATTACATGTTAGAGAAAAGGTTCATCCGACCGAGCTCGTCACCGTTCGCCGCACCGATACTATTCACACCGAAGAAAGACGACGAGTTTCGCATGTGTATTGACTACAGAGCACTAAACAGGGTAACAGTCAAGTCGCGATACCCCATTCCCCGCGCCGACGAACTGATAGATCAACTGCGAACAGGACGGGTCTTTTCGAAAATTGACTTACGAGGAGGTTACCACCAGATTCGGGTCGAACCATCGGACTGCGTAAAGACGGTATTTAGAACTAGGTACGGGTCATTCGAGTACACCGTGATGCCATTCGGGCTGACCAACGCACCGGCGACATTTCAGATGACCATGAGCGAGGCGTTTAGGCCGCTCTTAGATAAATGCGTGATAGTTTACCCCGACGACATCCTAGTCTACAGCCGTGATAAGCAGCAGCACTTAGCAGATCTGGAAGCAGTGTTTCAAGTTTTAGACGAGCACAGACTACTGAGCAAGGGTTCCAAGTGTGAGTTCTTCCAGGATAGGTTAGAATTTTTTTGGCACATTATTTCGGAGGCTGGAGTTGAGTTCGACCCAAAGAAGCTGGACACAGTAAAAGCGTGGCACCCCCCGACGAATATCACGGAACTGCAGAGTTTTTTAGGGTTCATCAATTATGTGCGTCGGTTTGTCCCTGACATGGCATGGTTAACTACCCCGCTGACGGATTTGCTGCGAAAGGGGGTCGCTTTTACGTGGGGGGAGAAAGAGCATGCTGCCTTCTCTGCCCTGAAAAATGTTCTCTGTTCACCGCCCGTACTGCGCATCGCCGACCCACACCGCCCACTCGAAGTAGTTACAGACGCAAGCGACATCGCCATTGGAGCCATATTGCTACAGGATTTCGGCAACGGTTTACAGCCCATCGCATACGAGTCACGAAAACTGCATCCGCCCGAGAAGAATTACCCGATACACGACCGCGAAATGCTCGCGATCGTGCATGCGTTCAAAGTGTGGCGCTGTTACTTGACCGGCGCAGACGTGACAGTACGGACAGACCACAAATCATTACAGCACCTACGCGCACAGCCCCACCTCAACCCACGACAGATCCGCTGGCTCGATTTCCTGGAGTCAAACTTCCACTACACGGTCACCTACAAAAAAGGGGCATCGAATATTGCCGACGCACTGACCCGCCCCACTGCCCACATCCACGCCATACTACTCGCCCAGACCAGCCCGCTACTAATAGGACTATTTACCCACGGCTATCAAACCGACCCGTTCTTCACAGGTGGAAATTCGCAGCAGTTCGCAGCAGCAAAGGGGGTTTATTACGTAAAAGCCGGCACCGACCGCATCTGGGTACCGAGCTACACTTTACTAAGGGAGCTGTTACTACAGGAGGCACACGACGGGGTTACCTCAGGACATTTCGGAGTAGAGAAAACACGGCAGCAGCTGCAGCGGTATTACTACTGGCCCGAAATGCTGACCGACGTGCAACGACACGTGGCATCGTGTCCCACCTGCCAAATCATGAAGTCATTACGGAAACGGCCGGCAGGGCAGTTGCAGCCGATACCACCCCCAGAGCGTGCTTGGCAGCAGGTGACGATGGACTTCGTCACGGGGTTACCGGCTGGAGCGAGTGGGAACGACGCGATCATAGTCGTCGTCGATCGGCTGACGAAAATGGCACATTTCGCAGCCTGCAAAAAATCAATCACAGCTGAAGAAACAGCCCGCCTCTTCATCTCCACCGTCGTTCGGCTGCTTGGGATACCAGCATCGATCATCAGCGACCGCGATACGAAATTCACCAGCAACTTCTGGCGGAACCTGTGGCAGCAGTTCGGCACGCGACTACAATTCAGTTCCTCGTACCACCCCGAAACAGACGGACAGACAGAACGGACAAACCAAACCATGGAGCAGTTTATTCGAGCCACGTGCGACGACCCGACCACATGGGAACAGCAGCTGCCACTCATCGAGTTCGCGTACAACAACTCGCCATCTGCCACGACCCAACAGTCACCGTTTTACCTGAATTACGGACAAGACCCCACAGTACCCATGACCCCGAATCCCGACAACCCAGTACCACGTGTACAACAGTTCGCAGAAATATTACAGGCAGCACGGACCCGAGCAGCGGAAGCAAAAAAAAAAAAAAAAAAAAACAAACAAACAAACGTCATCGCTAAGCGCAACGCCGACCGCCACCGCCGCCCCGTCACTTACCAACCAGACGACCTCGTACTACTCGACACTCAAAACCTCCGCCTGCCCATCACCCCAAAACTCCGCCCCCGATATTGCGGGCCATTTCGCATCAGCCACATGATCACACCCGTCACCGCCCATCTCCTCCTCCCTGCTGACTGGTACGTCAGCCCGTCATTCCACGTCAGCCTGCTTCGCCCATATATCCCATCCACCAGCCAACTGCCTCGCAACCGCCCCGCCAGCATGACACGACCGCCGACAGAGCCAATCATCACGCCCGAAAAAATACTGAGCCACCGAGTACGTGACCCACGGGGAGCCCGCAGGATCGAATTCCTGATCCGCTGGAAAGACCGCACGCCCACCGAAGACAACTGGGCCCCCCTGGATAGAATTGAGAATCACCCTGTCCTCACTGAGTATCTGCGCAGCCGAAACTTTCGAGATGTACACGCACTCTCGTAAGGAGGGCCTCCTTGGGGAGGGGGGTAGTGTAAGGAAAAATATTTTTCCTTACTTCGCGCCCCTGCTTACTGCGTACATGACCATTCCCGCCATCGGCACCCACAGTGAAACGTTACCCGCTCGCAGCACTCGCAGCACCACGACTCCCGCCACTGTTCGCGATGCGACCCAACCTAACGGTTCGGTTGGTAACCCACGCTCCGGACCTCCGCCTCGACAATTCCCAAACCTCGGCGCTAGGCCCGTAGCGCACCCCAATTTCCCGCATTACCGTTACCACGCTAGCTTCGCTATATAACTTCGCTCATGCTTTTCGCTCAACTGTATTGTTTTGCTTCGATAGTACAATTCTCGCTCGCTCGCTCAATTGCACTCGTAACATACACAGAAACGTTGCTCTATTTCCAGCAGATATTTTGTCTCGCCAACCTTCGCAAGCCTAATTTGAAACTTAGCCATTCTAGACTCGGGCTTTAAAAAAATCAATCAATAAATAACACTAATGACAAAATAGAAAAAAAAACCCTAAAGCACAAGAACCATACAAACACATCTTGACTTAGCATCACATGCCTAGTTGCTAACAAAAGTATCAGAAGCACAGATGACTCACTTGCTTTCCCACCATGGAGCACAATGGTTGACGATGACGGTATCCTCGCACCCCCCTACTTGTATAAATGGAATAAAATGGAATGCCACTATCCACAGTGCAGAGCAGAATAAGCTACATCAAAGACGAGGATGTGGTTTGAAAGGCGGCACATTCCCGGAAGTGCCTTGTTTTCCAGTCTGCGACCTGGCAAGTGCGGCTGCAGTAAGGTGCCCTCTCACAAACCACGCAACAGCGGAACTCCTGCGGCCTCGTCTCCGGCCGGCTGCACTCCCAATTGGCGCACATCTGCCGCCCATCAGGCATTCCAAACAACGCCGCCCACTCCCTAATAAACGGAACAATCACCTGGTACGGCAGCTCCTCCTGCTGAAACGTGCCGCGCTCTAGAGGCGAGAAGAGGCTTATCGAGCCCACCTGCTGAACTGGCGTAGGGGAAACATTCTGGGTAATGGAGACAGTCAAATGGCAGCCAGCTTGACAGGTGATGACGGAGACCAAGGGGGAGCTCGGCTTGTCAGTGCGTGCTACTGCTTCGCTGTTACCGCTGGGGAGGGTTGCTTCTTGCAGTGGTTCCACTGCTGCTGTGTAAGCCGTGCAGCTCTGCTGTGGCAATGCCAGGGGGGTCGGTGGGAGTGCTGATGGAGAATGAGAATGAGTATGGAGGCTTCCGTGAGTCTGTTGAAACCTGCTGCTGCCACGGCTGCTGCTGTTGGCAGTGCTGGGTCTGTCACTACAACCCTCCGCTCCGGCACCCCACAGTGGCATCAATACACACTCATCTGCCTCTGCCTGCCCTTGCCCTCCCTCCCTCCCGCAATCCCTTATCACGTTCTCCCCTGATTGATCAGTCCTGCTGTTACCCTCCCAGCCTGTCACCTCCGCCACTGAATATCCACCACCACAAGCTCCGGAATCACGCATATCACCAGAGTCACCAAAATCACTGGAAGCATCAGCAGGGGCAGCGTCATGTACTGATTCACCATGAACCGCATGGAACTCCGTGTCACCAGTGCCAACCATGGAAGAAGACACCCCACCATTACAAAGCCATCCCTCCATAGCTCCTCCAGCCGATGCCATTGGCTGTGCAGCAGCAGCAGCAGCAGTAGTGAACATGACCCCACCTGCTGCTGCTCGCGCTCGCTCCTCATGCTCGTACACCATCTCCTGTAGGCTTCCACCCAAGCTGTTCAATGTCTCTTCCAGTGCCACTCTAGGAGAGTCTAGTGGCCTGCTACTGGGTCCCCCTGGGAAAGCCGCGTGCGAGCTGGTGTCGACCGGAGGACGGTCGTGATGGTGCTGTTGAGGCGAAACGGACGGTGGAGATGATGCCAAGGATGATGGAGATGCGGATGAGGTGGCGAGTAGCAGCAGCTTCACTCCCAGGGCCACGTTCTTCCTGACGCCATAGCCGTCCTGCGCGGAGACACGTGGAGGGCAAGGGGGCAAGCAGGGCAGGAAGCCGGGGCAGGGTTAGAATAAGCACGACGATAAAGGCGCCGCGGATGCCACAAGCCCCCAGAAACAGCAGCAGGAAACGCGGCAATGGGCGAAACGTGCGGGAAAAGCGGCAGGAGGAACAGAGCGAACAGCGGGAGGGGAACGAGCGGACTGGGCGGAACGGGAGTGGTGGTCCTACCAGGTACGAGTGGCCCAGCTCTTGCAGCGCGGACCGGCTCCCGCGAACCGCTGCGTGCCACAGCACCTCCGCGGCGACGGCGGGATTGGCGTCCGCTGCGCTTCCGCCGCTGCCGTGCGCGTTGATGGCGGCGAGCGCGTGCAGCGCGCCCACGTGGCCCTCCTCCGCCGCGCGAACGAGTAGACACGCGCCCGACCGCGAGTCCCGCTGGCAGTAGAACTTGATCTGCACAATCGCACAGTCGCACAGTCGCATCGTCGCACAGTCGCACAGTCGCACAGTCAGACTCAGCCACGGCGTGGAGACACGAGGCTTAGACGGCGAAGCCAGGCCGAGCGGAAGAAACGACGAACGCGCATGTTGCAAGAGCTAGAGAATTGGAGAATTGGAGCCTCGCAAGGGAATTGCAACAACAGGCTCTCCAAGAGCCTGTCACTGCACAGCAGCGCGGCTTGCGGGCCGTGCTACGAGTACTAGTAGTTCTAGGCACGCTCGGATTCGTTCTGAAGACAGACCACAGAGCCACGACGTGAGGAACGATGCTGGCAGCAACGCAGCGGCAACTATCTACTAGTAGCAACGATTGCCGCACAGCACGGCGTGCGGCAGCCTGCGGCTCGTCATCGTGACGAACTTCCCCTCGTCGCAAAATCCCCGCTCGTCATGAGGCGACGGGACGTACCATGCCCAGCAGAAAGAGCGCGTCCACATTTCCCGCCAGTCCGCATAAGAGCATGAACCGACTCGCGGAGCGGCCGGCAAGAGTTGACGTTGACGCTGACGGTGGCGACGCCGGTGTTGACGGTGACGGCGCTGGCGGTGCTGACTGCGACGCTGGTGAGGGTTGCGGTGGTGCGGAGCAGGAGGTCTGCGCGGCCCACGCGGCCGGATGCGGAAGCAGCGCGCGCGGCGCCACGCAGCGCAGCACGGTGGGATCGGCCATGAGGCGGTAGAAGCGCCGCGATCTGCAGGCGACGGTCGAAGGAGATGAGGATGATGAGGAAGACGAGAATGACGAGATGCTTTCGATGGGCCTCGATGGGCTGGTAGGAATTCGGGATAGGCCGGCAAATGCGTGAAGTCGAGGGAGAACAGCGAGTGCTATGCAGACAGTGGGCGTGGGTTCAGGGACTTACACTGATCGAAGGAACGCCAAGCAAGCGGGACTGGTGGAAGTCGCCACGACTTTCGCCAGTATCGCCGAAATCAGCTCGTCCTGGTTTTCGGAGAATAGAAAGACAAAGGAGGCGAGCAGGGTGCCGAGCAGGGCACGAAGAAATAAAAAAAAGATCCAGTAAAGATTAATGCTGCGAGAGGAATTCAATTGCGATGATTCACTATTCATATGACAGACGGAGTCGATTCAGATGAAAGTCAACACCATGGATGGGAGACCTTACAGGTAGAGTGTCGAATGGCCTCGTTCCGCAGCGGCAGAGGTCTCTTGGAAAGGACGCCATGTGGAAGTGGGCAGCAGGGATACGGTCAAGGGTTGCCATGAGTTGGAGGAGAATTAAGCAAAGTTGCTAAACCACTACGCATGAAGAGCACAAGTTCGAGACTTCCAAGATGGGAGTTGAAGACCATTGGAATATGCGCGGCATCAGAGGGTCAGCACAGAGAGATGACTGGGAAGCAGCAATATGAACGAAGCAGATGAATGCAAGTGTTCCCAACCAGGCCTGTCGATTGACGGGCATATGCCCTTAATGCCCTGAACATTCCGGGCTACTTTCGCTCCAGCTCGACTGCATAAAGTGTTAGGATCGCCCTGCACCCGTGCCACTAAGTGCTTCGTTCGACCCTTCCCCGGATGCGTTAAGTGCTCCAACCAGGCCTTCCCCACCCACAAAGTCTTGATTTCCGGTTCTAGGACCCTCCCCCCCCAAGAAATTCTGCCTGACCCCCCCACTCCCCCCCCCTTTCTCCTTAGGTTGCACGAGAGTGTGCCAAGGGGATTTTTCCCTTAGCGTTTTCTAGCCAATCCCGTGTTTGTGATATCTCTAAGTCAGCTTTGGAGCAGCCGAACTTTCCCTTAGCTAAGATAGTGTAAGTGCAAGCCCGGATTTCAAGTTTTCACTTTGGCCTGCGCCCGTGACCGTTAAGGGCGCCAAAACACTCAGCTACGGCCAAAACAGGGTCAGATAGGGAGGAGCTGGGGACTCCAAGTATGGGCCCCAGGAACTTCGACAGGCCTGTTCCCAACCTCTGCTTGGGCGTGAGAGAGTGACATCGAATGTGGAACGTCAATTCCGCCACGCAGCGCGACTGAGCTGGCGCGAGAGAGTCCCCTGGGGCAGGAAGCAGGCCGCTCAATTCGTCGCAGGCGTGACGGACGGTGTCCCTTCGTCCTGCTCGACTTTTAGCGAATAGAATAATTCCACATGGATGGAGGGATGAGCAGAATGATGACGTCAGAGTTCCAGCTAGGAGGAGTTATCATGAGAGTTGGAATTTCCCACCACTCAGAGCAGAGTCTACGTGGAATTTCACTGGATCTGCTTTCTTTTGATAGATTTTGGTCAGGTTTCATCGAGAAAAGTACAAAAGCTACAACAACCAAATCCACCTGGGAATGATGCAATCTCACCGAAGGGCCGAACGTTCTTGAGAGGCTTTCGTCAATCGCAACAGACCAGCACTTAGTCAGGGTATTGTGACAAAACATAGGTAAGGGTCAGCAGCTTCGACGTACATTACCAGTTAACGAGAAACTTGTTTAGTATGCAAGTAGCACATGGGCTGCCCAAAAGTCAGTCACACTGCGATTAGCAAAAACCGCTCGGTGCTCAACAATTCTCTATTGACGTCACCAATCGGCTCTAGATATTGCTGTTGAATCATATTTAGGACCAGGCCTGTATCCCACAGGTAGCCATCCCGCTGGTACTGTGAGGCGCTGTTACAGAACGAGGCAACATTAATAATTTTCGTCGGTTGGGTGGTCTGTGACAACATTTCTGGGGCAGCCCAATTTGTTTAGAGAATATTTTCCGGGTTTAGGATACTTTTCAGGGTTTATGTATCAGCTAAAGTCAGGGTGATGCGTCAGGGTGCACGATACAAACCCCTGTGAACACGATTCCTGGTGGTATTTCTTTTTCCCACATGACATTGCCCAATACTGTTTGTTTCACGTTAGGTACAGTATTGGGTTGCCTCATTGGATTCTGCTGGGGCGTCTGGTACGAAAAGGGGGCATTTAGGGATTTCAATTTTGTTTTTTCAAGACTACCCTAAATTTGTGTTTCCGAATTTCCGATGTGAAATTTTGGTTACCCCACATCTAATGGCTGAGCTCGAGCCACGAGGGTCGATATTCAGGCCCAATGTTCCACGTCCTTGACATTGAAAAACAACCCCCTCTCCCCACCCCCAAGCTCAAGAATCCCCAAGAAACACAGCAGCAAGACAAAGACACTTGTTTGGGTGGAAGACCCTTACAAAGCTTCTCCACGAGGCAAGGATTCGAGGGTCCGCAAGCCTTTGAGTGTCAATAAAGAAGCGCCCCTCTCTACCGGCTGCAAACGTCAAAAAGGAGGAAGTGCTGTTTGACGGCCTGCATTAATAGATGGGTCAAGCTCTAACGTACACTATAAACGTTACGGCTTGCAAGGTTAGCACCCTAGAGCAATCGAACCCTGTCCACTGCGGAAAATCTCAGCCAAAACGGGTCGTCAAGCCTGACGACCTGTTGACGACTTGACGACATGCTGCCCCGGGCAGAAAAAAACTAAAACCCTATCGGATGGCATGCCATCCTAGGGAGGCATCAACCCTAAATCCATGCCTCCCTGTGTTTAGGGTTGATGCCTCCCTGACCGGATGCATGCCCTTCTGGGGTTTATTTTTTTTGCCCGCGGGCAGCGAGCTCCCCCGGGCGGACTCGCTTGTCTGCTGAGATATATTAACCGGATTCTGTTCTGTATCGGACAAAACGATACAGAACTGGAGCAGCCGACCTGTCGATTGATCTAACGGAAGGCTGAGCTGCCCCAAAATCTTCCCTTCAAACTGCGTTTGAGGTCGAACCTAGCACATTCTGGGTCAGGCTTCGCGGCAAACCCAATCAACTTCAAAGTGTACTGTTTTAACTCTACATGCACGAATCAATACCTTTTTGAAGTACTTTTTACAAGTGCAATTTAGACAGCAAGCAAATATTGCACTATCTAAGCAATTGAATACAATGAGCGAAGGCATGCCCAAATTGTTAAATATTGAAGCAATCTTGGACGGTAATGAGCGAGGAATAGGGTGCCCTACGGGCCTAGCGCCGAGGTTGGGAATTGTCGAGGCGAAGGCACGAGTCACCGGTCGGTAACGGAACATTGTTTGATTGTAATGCGGGAACAGTGTTGTACGCAGTATCTGTGATGACGTGAGGTAAGGAAACGTTGTTTCTTACCAGTGCCTATAATTTGGATATCCAATGCTAACCACATCAACAACAAACTGGCAGGTCTGCGGGACTCCACCCCATCTATGAGTGTGTAAGGTTCTGTGTGTGTGTGTGTATGTGTGTGTATGCGTTTGTATGTGTGTGTGTGTGTGTGTGTGTGTATGTGTGTGTGTGTATATGTGTGTGTGTGTGTGTGTGTGCACGCGTATGTGTGTGTGTGTGTGTGTGTGCATGCGTGCGTGCGTGTGTGTGTGTGTGTGTGTATGTGTGTGTATCTGTCTGTGTGTGTATGTGTGTATGTATATGTGTGTGCGCATGCGTGTATGTGTGTATGTGTGTGTATCTGTCTGTATGTGTATGTGTGTGTGTATATGTGTGTACGCATGCGTGTGTGTGTGTATGTGTGTGTGTGTGTGTATGTGTGTGTGTGTGTATGTGTGTGTGTGTGTACCTGTGTGTGTGTATGTGTATGTATGTGCGTGTGTATGTGTGTGTGTGTGTATGTGTGTGTCTGTATGTGTGTGTGTGTGTGTGTGTGTGTGTGTGTGTGCATGTGCGTACGTGCGTGTGTGAGTGCGTATGTATACGTGTATGTGTGTGTGTATGTGTGTCTGTGTTTGTGTCTGTGTGTGTGTTGTCAGATTTATATGACATAGCTACTGTAGGCTATAGTGGGGTAGCACATATGGGGTACAGTTTTCTAGGGTTTGCTTTTGTACCCAACTTTCCCTTAGTCAATTCATTCCTCATTTCTTCACATGGTATAGAGCAGGTTCCCTAGTGGGAACGCTTCCTTGGGCCCAGCACTGAAACCTTTTTTTTCTGACCGGAGCGACAGTCGCTCCTGCCCGAGGCGCGCCTTGTGGGCCGCCCTTCTGTCGAGCTCTCTTAGAGGCCCCTCTCACGGCCCCTCGCGCCACCCTTAGCGGCCCCGTCGCCGCCCCTAGCGGCCCCGTTGCCGCCCTTCCAGGCCCCTTGCGGCCCCTAGCGGCCCCATTGCCGCCCCTACGCGGCCCCGTAGCCGCCCCTAGCGGCCCTGTCGCCGCCCTTAGCGGCCCCGTTGCCGCCTCCCTCCCTACGCGGCCCCGTTGCCGCCCCTACGCGGCCCCGTCGCCGCCCCTAGCGGCCCCGTCGCCGCCCCTATGCGGCCCCGTCGCCGCCCCTAGCGGCCCCGTAGCCGCTCCCCTCCCTACGCGGCCCCGTCGCCGCCCCTACGCGGCCCCGTCGCCGCCCCTACGCGGCCCCGTTGCCGCCCCTAGCGGCCCCGTCGCCGCCCCTAGCGGCCCCGTCGCCGCTCCCCTCCCTACGCGGCCCCGTAGCCGCCCCTACGCGGC